AGAAGCGTATCCTTCTAATGTAGAGAATGATTTGTGAGAAAGGAATGTGTGAGAGTGGGAATCCGTACATAATACTAAGACATCCACAGGTTATGGGATTAGGCTCTGGTTCCCTGTTATGGTTGCAGTGTTGTTTCTACAAATTAAATGCCTGTGTATATTTATTGATTGTGTGCACTTACTAATTCCTATTTTATCATGATGGTGTATATACCTGATTTCAGTTGTATTGGGGAGTATCAAGATTAAATGTTCTAACTTTACTTAAATTTTATAATCCTTAAGGATTATGCATGTTTTAACGTACATTACCGTGCTGCACGGTAACATGCAAACTGCTCTGCGCTGCTGTGCCAATGCAACCACACTGCAGCACAACACTATGCACATGCTGCGCATTGTGTGCTCAGGTGCATTTTGAATGTGTTGGAGTGCCCTGAATGGGCCATCAATAATACTAGCTAGTCATTAGGACACTTTAAAAAGATGTTGCAGTGATATCACTTTCCAGCACTGATGTGATGCCACTTTTGATATTGTTCTACATCCACCATTTTGTTAAAATTCCTTGTGTACATTGATAACTTAAAGGTGAAAAAAAGGTTTGAAATCTATACAGCCATTCTGTTTAACTTAAACTCTGCAGTGCCTTAGGCCACATTCACACCTGCACGTTCTGTGTGGATGTGTACCACATTTTTGTGTGCATTTGTCATGCGTACCCATTGATTTTCAATAGGGTATGTAGGGTGAATGTGACAAATGTGGCAAAAAAAAACGTAAAAAAAATGAATGGCAACACAATCGCTTTTCGCGTTTTGCCGCATTTGGAGTGCGTTCACAGAATGCGTGGGTTTGAATGCTGCCTTAGAAGCCCTACCTTGACCCAAGATTGTTGAGCATTCCTGGAATGTGACCTTCAGACACAGGGATCTGCCAGTGGGGTTTTCTGGACCTGCGTTTGAGTACTGCGTTAGTTAGCCACAGGGCACTCTTTAGGTCCACAACTGTAGTACAGATTCTGGGTTGACCCAGTTAATATATATTTTGAAATGCATTGAGCTGTATATACATAAAGTAGCTAAAATTGAATGTGCATGAATCGACAAACTGCTAATAATACACCAGAATATGCAAATAAGTACACTAAAGTTCATCTAATCAAATGTGCAAATAATGCAAAACAGATCCTTTTTAAAAATGAATAATGAATTGGAACTGAAACCAAAACTTGTTTTTTTTTTGGTTCGGGTAGACTGAAATAGGGTTATAACCTATGTTGGCTTGTTTTTTTGCCATCTACAGTATGTCCCACTGGGGAGACTTTCCCTTCACTTCCTGTTCTGGTGAAAACAAAAATGTGGGATTTTCTTTCAGTGATAACGGTCACCAGGGCAAATAGAAGAGGTAACTCTCCCGAACAGAGACATGAAGAGCGATGAAAATCTGACAGGTGTTCTGATACCTCTCCACACGATCCAAAACTGGAAAAAAAATGTTTTTGGCTTCAGTTGCACTTTTAACTGTTTGACTTCAAAGCAATCTGTCCATATGACACCCTTTCCCAGGTTCTGTAAGGATTTGTATCCCATATGGGCTGCATAATGTCTCAGGTGCCCACAGAGTGGGCAAAACCTTTTTGCCAAGGGTGGGAGAATGTGTAGGCATTTCTTGTTTTGTTGAGTTAGCTTATTGGTAAGTTCAACTCATGTCAATCTGGTATGTATGTATTCAGTCATTTGAAGTCTAGACTTTGTCTTGTCAGCTTACCAGACCTGTAAGAAAGCCCTGACATACCTTTTATTTAAAGGGGATCACCTGTTTGGTGCAATGATGGATGATGCCATGAAATACCTCCTGTGAGGCAAGGACACCGTACTTCTGCAACTTAGAAGTGTAAGAAACCCTACTGCAAAAAAAAAAATCATTTATCTTTCTCATACATGTGTCTTTTCACCATCCAGGGTGCCCTGGACAAGGGATCCAAGTCCTTTCTCCTCTGAACAGTTATGATAGTCTGTCCAGCCCTAGGGGAATGGACTGAATTTATGTCAGAGGATCCAGCTGCTAACTTTACTGACCCTTTCTTTACCCTTGCTTTTGATACAACACTCAGGCCCCGTTACATGTAGCGACGTATCGCGCGATTTCCGCCGTGATATCGCGCATTTTTGCCGCGCGATATCGCGAGAAGTCGCCGGCCAATGCTATTAAATGGAGCCGTCTTAACTCCATGTCGCTCGTCGCGGTCGCAAGTCGCTTCTACCGGACTCTTTTTTTCGGCGGATTTTGCTTTTTTTCTATGGAGCCCGACGAAGAAGGTCGCGCTACCGTCGCTGGAACGTCGCCCCGAAAATTGCGCTATCCCGGCCGCTGCAAAGGTATGTCGCTACATGTGAACGGGGTCTTAGAGTTCTGGGCCCTCCAGCCTACCTGTGTCTCTGCACAGTGGACCTCCATGCTACACTTGCAGACCTTTGAACTACTACTTGTTAACTGTTCTAAAAACTAAAAGGGGGGCATCCACCTTGTCTTGTATCTAAAGGCTTATTTGTTTTCACTTAAGTATTTAACTTTTTGGCTGCTAACTACTCCTGAGGCTTGCTGGCTATTCAGGAGGGTATAGTTAAGAGGAGGACCCAAGCCTTCAACTTCTGGTTCAACCTCCCAGTAGTAAGGGCACATACCCATGCTCTTCTCTGTTCTCCAGTGAAATTCTTAAGGAAAGGATTTTACATGAAAGTACAGCAATTGCTAACAACATAATTTGGTATTACTGACTTCCCCTATTTATTCACATGAACTGTAAATTTTAATGATGGACTCAATTTAATATTTTGGTGCTTCTGTGCTGAGGAAGTTTGCTATATTTTCCATTTAATTTGATGGACAGTTTGTGTCACCTGTTGTAATCAGTGCCTAAATGTAAGGCATGGGAAAGTTTGACTTCGCAAGTGTCAATAGCCTTATCTTTTTAACATGGAATGACTGGAATGATTTCAAGTAAATTATTAAAATATTGAAATGGTAGATTGTTTTACAGGGAAATATTAATATGCTTTGGAAAGCATAAAGAGAAAAGAGGTTACATAGGTTGAAAAAAAGACACATGTCCATCGAGTTCACCCTAATCTGAAGAATGTACAAACTCAGTGACAATAAATACACTATATTGCCAAAAGTATTGGGCACCCCTCCACATCATTGGATTCAGGTGTTCCGTTAAATTTCCTTGCTACTAAATATTCCACGGTCAACTGTTAGTGATATTATAATAAAGTGGAAGCAACTGGGAACAACAGCAACTCGGCTATAAAGTGGTAGGCCATAGTTGCATAGTTATTTGTTCAATAGCTTTGGTATATGTGAAGCCTAGTGAGTGTTTTCAGTTGAAACCCTTTCTACATTTTCAAAGGGAGAAAAGTTAGCATTAGGGTCCGGATAACCTGCACCCCAAGGTACTTAAGGAATTAAGCCAGGTTATAACTAGACCATTAATCCTCATTTTTAAGGACTCCTTAATGACTGGTAGGATCCCCAGTGATTGGCGGAGGGCTACGGTAGTCCCAATATTCAAAAAGGGGGCAAGGTGCCAACCTGGGAACTATAGGCCGGTCAGTCTAACATCGGTAGTTTGTAAAATGCTAGAGGGCATAATAAAGGATTATCTGGTAGAATTTGTTCAGGAAAACGGGATAGTTAATGACAATCAGCATGGGTTCAGGAAAGACCGTTCCTGCCTAACTAACTTGCTAACTTTTTATGAGGGGGTGAGTAGAGATATGGATGGAGGGAGGCCGGTAGATGTGGTATATCTGGATTTCTCAAAGGCTTTTGATACGGTACCACACAAACGCTTGCTACACAAGCTGAGGGCTATGGGCATAGATGAGGTGGTGTGTACGTGGATAGAGAACTGGCTACGGGAACGTGTCCAGAGGGTATCTGTAAATGGCACCTTTTCAGACTGGGCTAGTGTAATGAGCGGTGTGCCTCAGGGTTCTGTGCTGGGTCCCATATTGTTCAACTTATTTATTAATGACATCGGGGAGGGTGTTAACAGCGATATTTCCGTGTTTGCGGATGACACCAAAATAGGGAGGGTAATAGACACGGACTTAGACACTATAACATTACAGGAGGACCTGGATAAAATAGGGGAGTGGGCATTAATGTGGCAGATGAGGTTTAATGTCGATAAATGCAAAGTAATGCACTTTGGAATTAAAAATAAACAAATGGGTTATACAATTATGGGTATGCCGCTGGGGAAGTCAGAAATGGAGAAGGATTTGGGGGTCATTGTAGACCACAAACTGAAAGGTAGTTTGCAGTGCCAGGCTGCTGTAAACAAACCTAGCAGGGTCTTGTCCTGTATTAAAAAGGGGATGTATTGCAGGGACAAGTCTATAATTTTGCCACTTTATAGATCATTGGTTCGACCTCATCTGGAGTACGCGGTCCAGTTCTGGTCACCAGTACTAAGAAAAGATGTCCTTGAGTTGGAAAAAGTCCAGCGAAGGGCAACCAAACTAATTAGGGGTATGGAGGACCAGAGCTACGAGACGAGGCTACTAAATTTAAACATGTTCACATTAGAGGTGAGGAGATTAAGGGGGGATATGATTTCCATGTACAAAATGTTTAATGGTGGTAGCAACATTAGCGATAAACTTTTTAAAATTAGCTCCGTTACAAAAACTAGAGGCCATCACCTAAAATTGATGGAAAAAAAATTCCAGCACAAGGGGCGAAGGGGGTTCTTCACAGTAAGATCAGTTAGGGTCTGGAACTCACTGCCACAGGCGGTGATTTCAGCAAATAATGTGGAATTGTTCAAGAAACTTTTGGACGATTTCTTAAGGGACAGTAATATACAGGGGTACGGGTACTCCTAGAATGAGATCCTAATAGGTTGGACTTGATGGACTAATGTCTTTATTCAACCTCAAATACTATGTAACTATGTAACGGTAATGTTTTATTTATTCTTTTCCTAGAATCCCTGTCCAGAGTCAAGTGCTTCTTTTCTCTCCAAGATTTCATTCTGGTGGATTAGTAGGTGAGTAAAATTAAAGCACAACCTATATGTTTTGAAACTGGCTCTACACTAATAATAGTGTAAATCTTCAATTATTACATGGTAATACCTCAGTGAGTGATTTGTACATACTTCATGCTGTGGATTTTTACAATATACATTGAGATGTCCAGGAAGGACACCACCTCCGTAAGGATGCCAGCAATACCTATGCCAACAAAAGATTATGGTAGCACGTAATAAAGCTGTATGAGCACTCATGTTTACTATATAAATATTGCAACCTGCTATATATTTGTCACCCTGCTTACAATTGAAAATAGTTTTTTTTAGTTCATGTTTTAGAAAATACTGTAAGAATAACATTTTTTCGGGATTTATGGAGCATGGCTTCATGCTTCTTAATTTCGATATTGATATAGCTTGATATGTTTTTAGTCTGTAGTAGCCCCCTATAACAGAGTTGTAATTTACTAAGACTGGGGCAGACAGAATCTGGAGCAGCTGTGCATGATAACCGGTCAGCTTCCAGCTTTTGTTTTGAAAGGGTAACTAAACAACCTGAAGATGGAAGCTGATTACTATGCTCAGCTAATCCAGATTTTGTCTACTCCAGTTTTACGACATTATTTCCAAAAAAAGTGGGATGCTGTGCAAAATCTACTTAAACAGAATGCAATGATTTGCAAATCTCATAAACCCATATTTTATTCACAATAGAAATCATATTAAATGTTTAAACTTAGAAAATGTACCATTTAAAAAAAAAAAAAGCAATTTTGAAAATGATTGCAGCAACATGTCTCAAAGTTGGGACAAGGCCATGTTTTCCACGCTGTTTTCCATGTTCTCTGGCAACTGAGGAGAGCAGTTGATGGAGTTTTGGGAGAGGAATGTTGTTCCATTCAAGCCTGATTAGGATTTGAACTGCTCAACAGTCTTTTGGTCTTCTTTTATCGTATTTTTGGTTTCAAGATGCGTCAAATATTTTCAATTGGTGAAAGGTGTATGGACTGCAGGCAGGCCAGTTAAGCACCCGGACTCTTCTACTAGGAAGCCATGCTGTTGTCATGGATGCAGTATGCAGTTTAACACTGTCCTGCTGAAATATGCAAGGCCTTCCCGGGAAAAGACGTCATTAAGATGGGAGCATATGCTCACAGTTGATTGCTCACAGTTGATTGCAGGTTATTTCAATTTAGAGCAATCAACTGTGAGCTATATAAATTCCGGTGTCAGACAGGAAGCAGCACCCTTTTGAAAAAGTCTACAAAGAGACGAAACACGTCAAGGGTAACCACCGCTTCCTTGCTGACAGTCCGGAAACGTTTTTAACAGGCTGAGTGTCCTTTACACTTATACGCTCTTTTACTCAACAAAATCCTGTAAGTGCGATCATTTATTTTATCCTTAATAAAGAACCTTGCTGCTGCACTGAGATCTGTTTTCTCCCTTGTATTTTTCTTTTTCCCTCCTGGGCTGGACACTCCGGTTTTTCCAATTACACCTGGAGGTTGTCAAAACGCCGCAACCGAGATTGAAGTGCTGGCCCATTGGAGTAAAGGGGAGAGAGATGCCTAAATAGATGTTCCGTGGACTTCGATGGAACTAAAGTAATAGACACCCGCTTATTATTTTTCCTGTTTTGAAAGAACTCTGCCTACCCTCCAATCCTTTTTTATATATGAACACTGTGAACTGTTGCTTTTAAGCCGATCTTAAGTAGTCTACAAGAACAAGTGAATACGGCCTAATAATATATATTTTTATATTTTTATATATTTTATGTTATTCAAAATATATAGAAAGAGCTCTGCCATCAATTTTCAGTCACAAATCAGACCAACTGATTAACCCCATTTGTTGTATTATATTCGTTTTTCTGGTTATACACTTATGTTTGCACCGATTGTTGACACTTAACAATAGATAGGATATTGTCTGTGATAATTTTTCCTATAATATATTTTTTTATGTTTCTACACAATTTTATGAAATTCACCATCACGGTATTTCAGTACTAAAACCACATTTTATGGTATGGACACCAGCACAATTGTACGAATGGTTTAAAATAGTTACACTTTAATACCAAGCGCAACATATTGGCTCACATACTTCTGAGACAGTCTTGACTCTCTTTAAGATGCTCTCTTTATACCCAATCATGTTACTGACCTGTTTCCAATCAACCTAATACTTTGCAAAATGTTCTTCCAGCGCTTCCTTGTTAGTACCACTTTGCCAGCTCTTTGTTGCACTGTCAACTTTCTTGAGACTTGTTGCTCCTATCACTTGCAAAATTACCTTTTATTTCCCTAATCATCTTCCAGGACCGCAACCTGAGAGATGATTGGTTCCACCTTCTACAGGAAACACAATTAGTAAAATAGTTAAAAGCCCCTCCCCTTCCCCTCGTACCTCAGTTTAGATTGTGTTTCCTAACGTCCAGGACCATGTCACGTTTGTTCTTTTCTTCCTGACCGGTTGGCCTTGAGGTCACGGATCCCCCTCTGTGCGGCTCTGCTGTTGAAGGTGTTTTTCCTCCCTTCTGGCCTTGCTGGAGAGCGGAGGGGTTTTTTCCCCTATGTTACTCTGACAAGCCAGGATCTGGTTCCTTTCCTCCCTTAAGGATCCACTCCTGAGGCCCCCAGGCCTGTGGCCCTGTCCTGCTTTCCCTTGCTTCATGTAAGGGAGCTTGTAGTGTGGTTTCGTAGCGGCGTCCGACATGCTGGGGCAGTGTATTGGGCGAGCAGTGGACTGAGAGGCACTTCCGGTGTGTTCCAAGCCTCGACTTGACGTCACTTCCGGTCGCGGGTGATGACCTCACTTCCGTCGCGGCTGATTGCCTCACTTCCGCTGCGCGCTCTGTGCTGTGAGGTGTGTTGGTGCTGTGAGGCCCGGATTGGGAGGGTGACTTAACCTCTAAATCCAGACTCTGTGGTCTACCTTTTGAGGGGGGGTTTATGTTTGGTTCTGGTTTAGATGATGTTTTGACCAGATCCTCTGAGAAGGGGAAGAAATTTCCGGAGAAGAAAAAGAGAATTCGTAACCGGAGGTTTTTTCGCCCCCCACAGGATCAGAGGAAGCAACCTAATAAGCCCCAGACCCAGCGGCGAACCTGGCCCTTTAATAAGAATAAAGTTAAGGGAGGCCTGCTTTTTTCCAGCTCAGCCACCCCAAACAAGGATTCTAAATGACGCCAGCAAAAAAGTGGGGGGAAGGCTTTCCCTATTTGTGCCTCAATGGGAAAGTATTTCAAAGAGTCGATATGTTTTAGATCTTCTAGAAAGGGGGTATCGCCTAGAGTTTTTATCCCTTCCCCCACAAACTTTTTTCTTAACAAAATTTTCAAGGGATCCCATAAAGGCCCAAGCCCTACAGGAGTGCATCCAGACTCTGGCTTCACAGAACGTCATTGTACCGGTCCCAGCAGAGCAGAAATTTTGGAGTTTTTACTCCCATATATTTCTGGTTCCAAAACCAGGAGGAAGGTTCAGGATGATTCTGAATCTAAACAAATTAAACAAGTTTATAGTGTTCAAGCACTTTCGTATGGAAAGCATTTACTCAGTACAAAAGACGCTTCAAATGTCAGTGTTTATGATCACCCTGGACCTAAAAGATGCGTATCTGCATATACCTATATGTCTGGAGCACCAGATATACCTTCGATTTGCTGTGGACACAGGGCAGGGCGTAATGCATTGGCAGTTTTGAGCCCTCCCCTTTGGTCTGTCTGCCGCCCCAAGAGTTTTCACAAACGTTTTGGCAGAGCCGGTGGCTTTTTTGCGCCAACAAGGCGTGTTCCTGATCCCATACCTAGATGACATCCTTTATGCCCACTCACAGGAAGGAGTATTGGCAAATCTGAAGAAAGTAAAGGACCTGTTAGAGTTCCTGGGGTGGATAGTGAACTGGGAAAAGTCCTGTTTAAACCCGACTCAATCAATTGTATTTTTGGGATACAGAATTCATTCTGTATCTCAGACTTTTTCTTACAGAAGAAAAAGTGCTCAAGGTTTTGGAGCTGACTCGATCTGCACACCAAGCAGATTGTTTAATGCTCAGGGAGATCATGAGGTTGTAAGGCGTAATTACCTCGTCCATTCCAGCACTGGATTGGGCCCAGTTTTGTATGAGGCCCCTGCAGGGGTTCCTATTATCCCAATGGGACAGCCAGAGGGAGTCTCTAGAAAGAAGGGTACAGCTTCCACAGGAGGCTCATTTTTCCCTAGAGTGGTGGATGGCCCCAGACAGACTGAGAAAGGGCAGACTGTGGAGTCAGGTAGATACAGTAAGGATTACCACGGACGCAAGCTCCTGGGGTTGGGGGGCTCATGCTCTTAAGTCTTCAGGCACAGGGGTCCTGGTCCCAGAAGTTGGCAACATCCTCCTCAAACGTGAGAGAACTTTCTGCAGTAAGGGAAGCCTTGGTGGCCTTTCAGGCAGTGTTGGAGAATCAACATTTACAGATATTTTCAGACAATTCAACAACAGTGGCTTACCTAAATCATCAGGGTGGTACGAGATCACAGCCCCTGTTGAAAATAGCTCAGGAGATTTTTATGTGGGCAGAGCCAAGAGTGCTTTTCATCTCGGCGGTTCACATAAAAGGGGTTCACAACGTTACTGCAGATTTCCTAAGCAGGAGTCCCATACGGCAAAACGAATGGGAATTGCACCCGGAGGTATTTGCACAGATTGTCCAATTATGGGATCAGCCGGAGATAGATTTATTTGCTACCAAAGAAAACCGAAAGACTCTGGAGTTCTTCTCCTTGGGCAGGGAACAGGGCTCCAGGGGAGTGGATCCGCTGGCACAAGACTGGACCTTCAGCCTGGGTTATGCGTTCCTTCAGCTGGTCCTGATTCCTCAAGTGTTGCAGAAATTGAGAAGGTCAGCGTGTGCTCTCATTCTGTTGACTCCCTTTTGGCCAAAGAACATGGTTTCTCAGAGTTGCTGGCAAAATCAATCCAGACCCCGTGGACCCTTCCAGAATGGAAGGATCTTCTTCAGG